AGGTAAGACTGACGGGCCTATAGTTTCCCGGGTCCTCCCTTCTTGAGAATGAGATTTGTTCCATCCTGCCCTGTAAAAGCCACACATGACAAAGCACATTGGAAAGGACTGGGTGAAGCTGAGTGGAGGTCTTGGGAATAGGGAGAGAACAGGACTGAGATGTGCAACAGTGCTGTGTACATGGGGGAGGAATCAGGGCTGTACTAGAGATGCTGTCAGCTGAGCCCTGGCCCTGAACTGGTTCCATGTAAAACAGTCTCCTGCAGAGCCCAAGATGATTATGAATGTACTGAGTAATTCCCCCTCCCTTCCTCCTAGACATTTCACTGAGGGATTAAATCAAATGCACTTATGTTTCACTGACTCTCAGCTCAGCTCACAGGTACCAAATGAGACTGGGGTACTTGGAGTAGGCCCCTTAAGATGCCCTGCTCTTGGACTTGCATTGAAAATCCAGGACTGTAGCTCAGAAGGGCCAAGAATGGGGCTGAAGAGGCAGGCAACAGCAGGGTGAGGGGGAAGTGCAGGTGTCAAAGTGTCCAGGGCCTCTGAGGCAGGAGAATATCTCATTAGAGTGGATGCTGATTGAGTTGTAGCAGGTATGGCAGACTGGAATGCCCCATCACAGGGGAGGGAGCACTTTATATTCTCAGGTTGTCCCGTTAGCATCTCAATGAGGGATGCAGGCTTTGAAAAGCATCATGTGGAATCCTAATGAAGCAGCAGAGTCAGGGCAGCGAGGGGCAAAGCCAAGAGAAGGATGCTGCTCTCTCCACCGAGTCACTTTTGTGATCACTTGCAAAACAGCAAGAGGGGTGTCTACAGTGTGCACAGGAGAGCCCAATCCTGCCCTCTCTCACGCTACAGTGATTTCAGTGGGGTGACGCCATTTTTACCTCGGTGTCAGTCAAAGCAAAATGCCAGCCAAAAAAACATGCAACAGAGGGAATGCAGAACTCCTTGCACTCAGCCTCATCTGCTCTGCGTATGGTCCTTGAACCAATGTGAAGACTGACACATTTTTCAGACCCTTTGGTCACCCTGTGACTTCCTCTCCCTGTAGTTGCTCCCTTTGATCTTTCTCCACCAGGGTCCAACTCTTGTAGAAAGCCAGGGCCAAAACCCACTTTTCCATATCCTGTCCAGAATGGGTTATGTTCACTGTTGCACTGGTTATACTTGTGACCTGACTCCCTGTGAGGAGGGGGGCACACAGCTATTCGTTCATGGGTTTGTGCTGGTCTTCCTGATGTGTTAGCAGACTCTGCTCTCTACCTCCACCAGTCCTTTCTGCTCGGCAGCAGAGCTGGGGTTTGTGTGTGTGCGAATCTGCCTTCATAGTTCCTCCTGCTCCCCTTGCCTGTGCTTTCCCCTGGGTGACAGGACAGCATGCAGTCTGTATCTCCTAATTGACTGCTCTCAATGCATAATGCATTTTTTATTTTAATGAATAGTCAGCTCGCTTTGATGGCTTTTATTCGTTTTTTCCTTCCCTCCCTTTGGAGGTTCCTTTGGGGAAAGGTGCTTAGCTGCAGTAACTCCAGCCCCTTCCACTCTCATATTGCTCAGGTGCTGGTCCCAGTTGTTTGTGTGCATATAAAAGGGCTGCTTCTTGCCTTTAATGTGGAGTGTTCTTCCCCTTTGGTGAGCACAGTGCTGGGAGAGTGTAAATCCCTTGCCCTGCCTCTCGCTCCTGCTTTCTTCTGCTGGGTTGCTTTGAATTTATGAAAGCAGCCAGTAGCTAATCTCCCCAGGGGCTGCTAATAAGGAATGCAGGTCAGGGCTGAACACGGGGCCCCACAGCTGAGAACACACATGCACCCTCCCCTTTTCTGGGTAAGGTATGACCTGAGGTGCTACTGGACTTATTGATCTGCTATGTTCATCCTGTTCATTCACTGTAAGCCACTTCCCACTCCTTGTTCCAGCCCCATGCTCTTCCTTTTAGGCATAGCATGACTCAAGATGAAGCTGTACACACATGAGGACTGCAGGATTGGGCTCTTAAGGAATAAAAAGATCCCCTATGTGGGAACAGGGAACAGTGCTGCCTCATGGGTCGGACTTAGCGCACCGAGGTGGGTGAGGTGCAGGTTTCAGGGAACATGTGGTGATAGCACTCCTCACACCTCCAGAACAGAAGGGCTCAGAAGGAGCAAATGCACTGTTCTCTGAGAGGGCAGGTAGGACGGAGAGGTAAAATATGTCTGTAAACTAATTACAAAATCTTGAGCGAGTCTAGGCACTCCTGGTCTGTGAGAAACAGAGGATCCATGGGGACCTTGTGGAATAGCAAGGACAGCTCAGCCCTGTCCCCTCACAGCCTTTAATTGCTGTTTGTTATCATCCTTTCTGGCACAAGCTCTTGCTGTGGCAGACAGTGGTGCTGACTGGTCTCCATTTGTCGTGCAGTCTGTGCATTTGATACTTTGGGTGCTGAAAGACGAGCCCAGTCCCAGGTTGAAGGTGACTCCCTGAGCATATAGAACCAGTGTGGCCCAGATGTGAGGAGGGGGCAGAATTCTGCATTTTCTTTACAGTCTGGAGAAGTGGTTGAGACACTAATTTGTGATTAAAAGCTGGGAGAAAAGGAGGGCAAGGTCTGGGAGTGGCTCTGCAGATCTCACCTGGCCTGTAGGGTGGGGGAGCATTCAGTCTCCCCCACCCCTCGGTGTGCAGCCTGTGTATGTGATGGGAAGGGTGCTTATTTTCTCTATGGGGGTGGGGGGATTTCTGTAGTTCATGTGTCACCATCTTCTCCACAGGATCTGAACTGTTGCAGCCACCATGTCTCTGAGGCTGGCTGGTCAGTGCAGCTGTTAGTGAACTGCCTGTGGGGAGGTAGCTAGGTAACCTTTGAGCGACAGAGTTTCATTGGTTCAGGCTGCAGCCTGACTAGGTAGAGCGTGGTAGGAAAAGAGAGAGAACAGGGCTCTCTGCATGGGGATGGGCGTGGAAACTGGAGCTATATGAGGCTCATGGGGTGGTCTCAGACACTGGTGTCTGTGCCTGGCTCAGAGCCCAATGGTCCTAAACAGAGGCTGCCTGCTTCAGCATACTCTGAAATACTCTTCTAGAGGCTTTTCAGTGTTGTCTCTCTGCCAGAGTCCACCAGCTCCTAGTGATGGTAGCTTTGAAATAAGAGAAGCTGGTGGGATTTTCTGAGAAATCCATTAACTCCCCAGGCAGATCATCCCATTACTCTGGAGCACTGCTCTTGCATCACACGCGCAACATGAGGAAACATTTTCCTCCTACACTCTGCAGAAAGCCAAGCCACCTCTTCCTTAATGACTTGTGCCAGCATCCATCCCCTTCTGCAGTGCCACCTTCCTCCTCCTGCCTCACACATGTTCCAGTCCTTCCTGTCACTCTCATCCACATGTGTGCTGCAGTCCTTCTGTGTCACCATGCAGGATAAAAATCCCTTCTCAGCTCCAGTATGCAGAGACAGCTCTTTTATAGCTCTTAAACTCCAGATGAGTAGTCCTTGCAAGTTGCACATCCCAGCCCTCCTCAGACAACCTGGCATCCTGCAGCACTATCTGGAGTGAAAGGGTACCTATACACGTGCAGTGAGGCTGCTCTGACCT